CAGATCATCAGTGGCTCCAAAGAAGTTGGCCTAACAAATCATATAGGAGAAAAATAAATGGATGAAGGGTGCATCTGTCCCCTACCATGATATGCAATTGAATGAAAGGATCATAGAATTAGTCCTTCAGGATATGTATCTTCAATAGATGTCACATGTGAACAATGACCTGTGCCTAGAACTGAAGAGAGAGAAGCCAGTGATCTATGTTGCACTTATGAAATTGTGCAGCATTTTTATAACTTCAAAATTCTCCATGAACCAAATAAACATGTTTTGATGCCAAAATTCTTTCAGTGATGCTATAGAGCCTATGGGCAGTATAATTTCTGATGAATCAAAATTGCATTAACAAAAAAGAGAAAGAGGAAATCAATGAATGGAGGATGGAACTTTAAAAAAATGAGAAAAACCCACACATTTTAAAAATCCTAATTAAATGCTAAAACATAAATCCTGAAAATTAAGGAAGGGATTAACAAAACTGAAAACAAAAATATTTTACAAATACAAACAGGAACTGTTTTTAAAAACAGTAGGTAATCATTAGCTAATTTGATTAAAAAGAAAGAGAAAAACCAAATTATCAGTATAAAAAATGAAAAAACAAAAATTCACAAAACCGAAGGAAAAAAAGGAATATTATTAGAAACTATTTTTTTTGCTTAGCAATATGCCAATAATCCTAACATCTTAATAAAATAAATGAATAGTTAGAAAAATATAAAATAACCATATTAGCAAAAAAAGAAATAAAGGTTTTAACAATCCATTCTCAGGAAAAAAAATTGAATATGCTGTAAATGATATCCCAAAGGGAAAATGTCCCATATGCATTCACTAGGGAATTCCATCAAACATTTAAAGAACAATGAATTCCAATACTACACTAACTGTTTGCAAAATAGCAAATTAAAGGATTCTACCAAATTCCTCATGTGAGATAAATATAATCTTAAAACCTAAATTGGAGAGAGGGAAAAAAAGAAGAAAACTATTGACTAAAACTTCTAATGAACATTGAGGCAAAAATTTTAAATAAAATATTAGCAGAGACTACAGTATCATGTCATAAATATTATATACTATGACCAAGTTGAATTCACACCAGTAGTGTAAGGCTGGCTTAATATGAGGAAAATTATAAAGATAATTAACCTTATTGATGGTAAGAATGATGAAAATCATAAGATTATATCAATAGACCCAGAAAAAGCTTTTGACAAAAATATAATACCCATTTCTGTAAAAAACCAAAACATTAAAAATAGGAATAAGTAGATTTTTCTTTAACACTTCCCTTCACATAGTAAACAATATGTATCTAAACCCAAGAATGAATATGATACGTAACAGGGATAATCTTGAGTCCTTTTCAATAAGATTAAGGGTGAAGCAAACTATCTATTGTCACCTCTTCTATTTGACATAGTACTAGAAATGCTAGTAAATTGCCATGGCAATAAGATAAGAAAAAGAAACTGATGAAATAAGCATATGTAAAGAAGAAATAAAAATAGGTGGTGGTGTATTTAGAGAAACCTAGAGAGCCAACAAAACAGTAATTTAATCAATTAATAATTTCAAAAATATTTCATTATACAAAATAAATCCACACACAGCATCTGATAGGAAAATATATATTACATATATGTGTGTGTGTGTCAGTAAAAATTCCATTTACAAAACTGCAGAATACACAAAATACTTATAAGTCTACCTACCAAGGTTCACACAAGCACTAGATAAATACAACTAAGAAATATTGCTTACAGAAATAGACATAAATAATTGGAAAAATATTAATTTATCATGGGTAGGTCAAGGCAATATAATAAAAACAACAGATAAACAATAAAATAAAAAACAACAGAACCTAAATTAATTTACTTTTTTTAGTGCTGTACAAATAGAACTCTCAAAAATATTTTATAATGCTCACAAAATAGTAGTAGAATTCATCTTGAGAAACAAAAAGTCAAGGATGTCAATGTTAATGATGAAGAGAAATGTGGAAAGGAAAATGGTCCATCAATAACAGATTTCAAACTCTACTACAAAGTAGCAATCATTAAAAAAAATTAGGCACTGGTTTTAAAAAAGAGGGAGAGATCTATCAGTGGTGCATTTGAGAAATACAATACACAAAAACAGAAACAGAGTAACATAGTTTTTGAGACACCCAAAGACCCTACTTTTTAAGGGTAGGACTCACTATTTGACAAAAACTTCTGGGAAAACTGGGTAGCAGCCTGGCAGAAATTAGGTTTGCACTAATATCTCACACCATACACTAAGATAAAGTCCAAATGGACATATGACCTAGATATAAAAAGTCACATACTAAACAAATTAAGGGAGCAAGGCAAACATTACCTTTTGAACCTATGGATAGAGGAAGGAATTCATGACTAAACAAGTGATAGGAAGGATAATGCAAGATAAAATGGACAATTTCAATTAAAATCTAAAAATTTTTGCACAAACAAATCTAATAAAGCTATGATTAGAAGGGAATCAATTAACTGGGGAAAAAATCTTTGTACTTAGTTCCTCTGATAAAGATCTCCTTTCCAAGATACATAAAAACTGATTCAAATTTATCAAAATAAGAAACATTCCCCAATAGATAAAGAGTCTAAGGATATCAACAGGCAGTTCTGCAAGGAAGATATGGTCTGTCCATAGCCATATGAAAAAAAAATGTTCCAAATCACTAAGAATTAAAAATGTAAAATGAACACACCTCTGAGGTTCTATTTCACACCCATCAGAATGGCAAACATGACCAAAAAATCAAATGACAGTGTTGGGGAAGGCACTGTGGGAAAAGTCACATTGATGTACTATTGATGGAGCTGTGAATTGGCCCAAGTGTTCTGGAAAGCAATTTAGGTTATAACTAAGAAGTTACTAAACAGTGCATTCCTTTCAATTAGTGATACCACAGCCAATGTTATTCCTCAAAGAAATCAAAGAAAGAATGAAAGTTCTTAGATGTACAAAAAATATGAATAGCAGCTGCGTGTGTGTGTGTGAGAGAGAGAGAGAGAGAGACAGAGAAAGAAACCCCCCCACCCCTAAACAAAAAAAGGTGTCCATTAATTGGACAATGGCTGAGCAAATTATGGTATCTGAATGTAATAGAATAACTCTTGTGCTATTAGAAATGAAATTTTGGAAGACTTTTATCAATTGATGCAAAGTGAAGTAAGTAGAACCAAAAGAACAATTTATACTCTAACATTAATACTATAAAATGATTAACTATGATCAACTAAATGATTAACTATGATTTCAGAAGACTGATAAAGAATAATGATGACTACCTCATGACAGAGAGATACTGGACTAATATGCAGAATAAGAAATGCATTTTTAGATATGACCAATGTGGGAATTTATTTTGCTTGACTAACCTTATCTGTATAAAGGGTTTTCTTCTTCCCTTCATCCTTCACTCTTTCACCCTTTCCTCCTTCTTCTTTCCCTCTTCCCTTTTTCCTCACCTGCCTTCTTTCCTTTTCTTTCTTTCTTTCTTTCTTTCTTTCTTTCTTTCTTTCTTTCTTTCTTCCTTCCTTCCTTTCTTTCTTTCTTTCTTTCTTCCTTTCTTCCTTCCTTCCTTCCTTTCTTTATTTTGGGGGGGAGTGGAAGGAGAAAAAAAGAATGATTTATTATTGAAAAAAATATAACTTCAAACAACTCATCATGTATGCTTGGTGATTAAGGAATAGATAATGAATTACGGTAATGTCATATGATAGATTATACTATTAGAATGCATGTGTGATTATAAACTATTTTATGTGTTTCATCATAAAAAATGACAAATGAGAAATTTTTTAAAATATGACAATATCTACATTATTTCATCATAAAAGCAGCAGTCTTTTAGAGTAAATAGTTGGATTTAGAAGGGAACGTCACAAAAGTACTCTTTGTTTTTATTTGGTTAAGATATATTTGCTTTCTTTTTAATTAAAATATAAAAGCTTAAATCTTAGGTTTTATTTGAAGACTTATTCCACATTTAATTTATTTGTTTATTAGTATTTGTTGTGAATATTAAGATTATGATAATAAATCAAGATGCTAGTTTGTAAAAAAAAAAATACAGCTTACCCAAGGGCAGTGAAAAGACACATGATGAGCATAAATAGACTGTAGCTTATTACCAGAGATGATTTTTTTTTTGCAGGAAGCAGCATAAAATATATCATCAAAGAGAAGTAAGACTAGAAAAAGAAGTGGGCTGGTCATGTTGGGACCAAGGAAGTCTCCATGCTGCTTCTGTGCCCTTGTAATATTAACAGACCCATAGAAAAGGTTCTATCTCCATGGGTAAAGCCCCTTTGGAAGATGACATGGATATGAGTCAAAGAGGGTGAAAAGATGTAGAATAATTGAGATTTTCATCCTTGGGGGACATACTCATATCAATGACATCATAGAAGCATTGATGTGTATTTCTGACATTGAACCCAAATCTAAAATTTGATAAAGTTATTAGCAAGTTTGTTTGAGTGACAAAAAGTACTAGTTCTAAAAGAAAGAGCAATATCAATAAATGTTAATTCCCTTCAGGACTGACTAATTGTAGTCCCAATGGGAAGAAAGGGGATGGGCCAAATAATCTTTTAAGGTTTCACTGAGTTGTATGTCCTTTGACCTCAGTTTGAACCCTGGTTTTACCAAAAATGCAACAAGGCAGGACTTATGGGAAAGTAAGAACTGATAGTAATACAGATACTCTAAAATTCAGAATTCATTAATGAAGAACTTGAAAGACAGAAGACACATTAGGAAGGTATCAGCTTTGTAGTATATGATGTACATTTCATGAAGATAACTATATCCCTACCAGACCTAGATCATGGAAACCAACCAAAGTCTCTTTACCCAGAAAACAGAGATGTCAAGTATTCTTTAGAAAATGGGAGTCCAGGGCACAGCATGACTTAATTCAATGATTTATTTGATTAAAATTACAAGACGGGAAGGAAGCTAATGCAAATGCCAGCTGAGATGAATGATATGTTTTTCTGTGTAAGACTGAATGATAATGTCCCAGGAAATTTAGAGCAGCAGAAGGAAGAGACATTCTCTGGATATAGATGTTACAGAACTCTATGCTCTGGCATTTCAGGAGAGGCTATTGTTCTTTCTTCTATCTTCCTCTGGCTAATTTATGCTTCAAAGTTTTGAAGTAACCTGGGGAGGAAAAAGAAAAAAAAAGAAAAAGGAAGCTTCTTCATTTGAACCATGACCCACTGGACTGCTCAATTTATGCCTGAGCCCATCATCTCCTTTGAGGGTTTTCATACAAACTGGCCTTGACCTTCCATGTTCACACACCATGAACACTATGTAATTGCCTCCTGAATTGCACCGTTAATATATTCTAACCCGACCCACAGGAAATAGAGAATATGGAGAACCTTTAGGGCTCTCTTTCCACCTCCTGCCCCCTACCCCACCCCCACCCCACTGCCCTCATTGCAGGCTTCAAGGGGATGGGGGGAAGAGAAAGGGAGACAGATAAACAGAAACAGAGATACATAGACACACACAGAGATTGAAAGCTTAGTGGACCCCAGCAGACACACTGATCACAGCATGACAGCATATTATTCCAGGGGGGCAGCCACAGTTCACAAATGGTCATGCTTACCTCATGACTGGTTTCTCTATCAGGAAAAAAAAAATCATCGTGCTTTGGAAAGCAATGTTGGAAGCAAAATAGCTCAACTCTGGAAACAGAACTCAGGTTTAATCTGCAGGCAGGAGCCCAGAAGTTCTAATTACTATACATTGTTTCCTCCCTATAAGGCCTATGTTCATGAGAAAAAAAGAGGTCCTACCACTGCGGTCTGCATGTCAATGAAGTCCATTGTAAGCTCCCCAGTATAACATAAACTTCCCCTGAACACATAAAATTCTTGGCCTCCTAGAACAGTCTCATAGAAAGAGAGCTCTGTATTTGCTTCAAAAACAGTTACTCTGTTCGGGACTCTAAGTCCCGGCTCAGTTTTAAAAGGCTGGGTCCAACGAAAGTTGATACAGTTCATGTAATTTTAATTAAGGAGAAATTTTTGCACCTTTACGTTTGACAGGGGTATTGTAAGACCGTCCTATTAATACAGAATAATTCTCAAGCCCATAAGTAATTCACTTTGTAAAAATCTTCTAGGCAATAGTATCAGGTCAAAATGAAATCCAAGGACATGAAATAATTGACCTGCCAAGAAGCCACCAAAACATCAGAGCTGGGAGAGTTAGGTAAGAGAACTCATTTGATACCTCAAAATAGCAGCTAACTTGTCACTTTGATGGCTGCAGAAAAAGTGGATAGAGCTATCTGAGGGGGCCTAAAAAGTGACATTGCAGTACAACTGCCAGAAATCCTGAGGGGAAAAAAAATCAGAGAGAAATATTGGCAATGAATGAATAATTCAAGCCTCAGTCAAACATCTTCTATGCAATTTGTCTCAGAGTGCTTTAAAGATTTAAAATAATACCATTTAGGGTGTTTCAAAGAAATGGAAATAAAATAAGGAAGATCATAACTGGTTTTGACCAAGATTTGAAAGGAGATGGGTCTTGATGAAGATGAAGATGAAGTAGATGAAGTAACAAACAGTAAGACAGTTATGGGATCAAAGGCTCCTTGAGAAAAGGGGCTATGGCAGATGCATATTTTGTATCTTCCAAATGCTTATCAATACTTGGGTGGGCCTTTAGACCAGACAAACACTTACGTCACTGGGTGCAAGGATAGGTCATTCATTTTACTCATACTGTATATGCAAAGATAGACATTAAAGATGAAAGGTTAAAAAAATGATACAGTCTCTTTGAAAAATATAACCTCCATTCCTATTAAAAAACATTAGAAAGCATAGGAATCAATGAAGACTTTCTTAAAATAAGTAGTATCTATCTAAAACCAAAAGCAAGAATTATCTTTATGAGGATGAACTTGAAGCTTTCCCAATAAGATCAGGGGTGAAACAGGGATGTGCATTATTACCACTATTATTCAATATTGTGCTAGAAATGCTAACTATAGCAATAAGACAAAAAAAAATTGAAGGAATAAACATAAGCAATGAGGAAACAAAACTATCAGTTTTTGAAGGTATGATAGTATATTTAGAAAACATAAGAGAATCAATTAGAAATCTAGTTGAAATAATTAACAACTTTAGTAAAGTTGCAGGATATAAAATAAACCCACATACGTCATCAGTATTTCTATACCGATAAAACCCAAGAGGAAGAAATAGAAAAAGAAATTTCATTTAAAATAACTGCAGGCAATATTAAATTTTTGGGAACCTACCTGCCAAGACAAACCCAGAACACAATGAACACAATTATAAAACACTCTTCACACAAAGAAAGACAGATTTAAACAAATGGAGAAATATTAAGTGCTCACGGGTAGATTGAGCCTATATAATGAAAATAACAATTACCTTAGTTAATTTACTTACTCAGTGCCATACCAATCAGACTACCAAAGAAATATTTGTAGAGTTAGAAAAAACGATAACAAAATTCATCTAGAAAAATAAAAAATCAAGAATATCAAGGGAATCGATAAAAAAAAAACGTGAAGGAAGGTAGCCTAGCAGTATCAGATTTCAAATTATATTACAAAATGGTAATTGTGAAAACAATCTGGTACTGGCTAAGAAATATGATGGTGGATCAGTGCAATAGATTAGGCATAAAATACATAGTAGTAAATCTCCATAGTAATGAGTAATGTAGTATTTAATAAATCTGAAGATCCAAGCTTTTTTTTTTTTTTTTTGTTACCATTTGCCAAAAACTGCTGGGAAAACTAGAAAGTTGTTTGAAAGAGATTAAGTGAGGAACAAAAAACTCATACCATATACCAAGATAAGGCCAAAATGGATAAGTAATTTAGACATAAATTTCAATAATTTGTTTTTAGTCATGCCTGGCCCTTTGTGACCCCATTTGGGGTTTGCTGCCAGTGATATTAGAGTGGTTTGCCACTTCCTTCTCCAGCTCATTTTATAGATGAGGAACTGAGACCAACAGGGTGAAGTGACTGGCCCAGGGGTCACACAACTAGTAACTGTCTGAGGCCATGTTTGAACTCAGGAAGATGAGTCTTCCTGACCCCAGGTCAAGCACTATATCCACAGTGCCACTAGCTGCCCTTTAGATACAAATAGGTGTTACTTTTACCCATATTTTACAGATAAGGAAACTGAGGTCCACAGGGTGACTTGCTCAAGGTCATATAGATAGTAAATATCAAAAGTAGGATTTGGATCCAGGTTTTCTGACTCCAGAGTCATAATTCATTTCACTATACGTGCTGCTCCCCACCAAGTCATATAATACAAGTAAAAAAAATGCAGAGTTGGGATTTAAACTCAGGTCCTCTGATTGAAAAGTCAGTATTTTTTTTTCCAAATGTAATATGATGTATGAACTCCTTTTATCCTGACTATTTACTGGCCTGTTGCCCCACAGGGTAGTATCAGGATGATGGATTCACAGAGAATTTCAGAACATGTAGCAACCTACATAGGACTAGGCTTTTAAAAATAGGAGCTGAGGAGATGAAGGGAACAAAAGTTGAATGGTACAGATAAATGAGTGGCTACACACAAGAGACCTGGACTTAGGTCCCCAGAGGAAAAGCATCTGCTACCAGAGGTGCTCTGACCAGTGCCTAAGAGCACTGCACACACTGAGCACTCAAGAATGGTGTTCCTGCTTTCCTTATGTAAGAATAAATATTATGCTCTGGCATGTTCATTTTTAGGTAGCACATGTTCGGGGTGTAGAGAGAAGAGAGTTGAAGAAGTAACGGTAAACAGATGAGACTTTAGAGACTGGGACATTAATTCCCAAGTTATTAGATTTTTATATATTATTATTTCCACAGGAACCCTAATAGAGAAGGAGCATATGGCTTCACTCTCATACAGAAAAGAAAAGCTAAAACACAGAAAGGAATAAACAAAGTGGTGAAGTGGAAAGAATTCTGAAATCAGAGGAACTGAGCTTGAAACTTAGGTCTACATCTAAATATAAGCATGATCTTGGGTAGGTCTTCGAGCCCCCGTTTTCTCAGTTCTAAGATGAAGGAATTATATAAGATGATCCCACATTTCTCTCCAGCTCTAGAAACTATGAATCTGTCTCTTATCAAAAAGGTAGGCTGTAAATAACAGGATTTTTTAAGGTTCTACTACAGTCCTTGAATAATGAATTCTTGTTCAAACGTGGGTCATTATTCTTAGTGAGGTAAATTGGGTCTCAAAGTTTATGTACAGTTAGCACCTGTAGAATTCTACTTAATTACTTGCTTTATTTATAGGGATTTCATGGACTGCTTATTAGATAGATTCTATTATGTAACTTCATTATTGTGCTTGAAGTGGACTTCTAGAACATCATTGTTATACCTACATTTCTTTGTAAATACAGAGACGCAATTCAAATATATAAATTTATGCGGTATTATGTAATGCTTCAGATTGTGCACATATCTGCTTACCTTTATGAGTGGGACCAGAACACAGAACCTTTGGTTTCTTACTTCTTTTGGGGTCTAAGGGTCTCTCTGACTAGTTAGAAAGAAAATCAAGGGTCTAGGCTTAAAGCACAGAAAAGAGGAGAAAGAATAGATGTTAGCATCACAAAGTTCAATCTTTCAAGAATCATTAATTTCATCTGCGAAGCTAGTCCTATCACCGACACTGATAGAAATCACTCAGTGTCTTAATAATTTGTCATCATGAGCTTATGTAGATTAAAAAAAAATTCTCTCTTGTTGGCCAATTTTCTGGTGATAAGCCTTTTTATATTAAGTTAGACTTGTCCCTCTAAGACAATCCATTGCTGGATCTGTACTCCAAGTCTATTTAGCAGAGAACTTGTTAGAGCTTTGAGTAGCCTTTGAGAAGCCTGGGTCACTTCTAAATCATGACAAAGCTACAAGGTCACTTAAAACACAATGTTCTTAGACCTGAAGGGAAGAAGAAAAGGAGGGAAAGTTTTCAAAATGGGATGTATTAAGCAAACCCATTCCTGGAGCTGAAGAGTGGATCTGCTTCTTTTAAAATATTGGTGACCTTTCCCCAATTTTAATTGGGTATAAGCTTCCCACAGCATGCTTTGTCCAACAATTATTTCAGAACTCTGCATTTTTTCTGGCTCAGTCAAGTCATTTTTGTTATTTATACAAGGAGAGAGCCAGACCATGATCACTCAAGAAAGTTTCACAGACATACCTCCTATGAAAGTGGAAGACAGCTGTATAATTTTACCACTTTAATGAGAAGACAAAGAAGAAATTTGGGTTAAAACAACAGAGGAGAAAGATAAATGAAAGTTAAGTACAATTAGGAGAGGGTGGCACAAAGTTAGGAGACTGATGAAGATATAGTTAGAAGAACATAGTGACCAACATGTGATGGGAATATACTAGAAATGAATATGGCAAAATCCTTCCATCATCTTGCCTAGTGGCAACATTCTTTCCCATGGAAATGTGTTTTCCCAAAGTTTCTTCAGGTTAGTAATATTAATCTACAGTGACATAACTGTCTCTAGAAGCCCAACAAATAAAGCAGGCCTATGGCCCTAAATCACTGAACCGCAGAATTCGAAAGTGGCTACCCAGCTTAATCAATGCATAAGAGAAATCCCCATGACAACATGCCCAACAAGTAATTGTCCAAATTCTGCTCGAAGACCTCCAAGAAGAGGGATTTTGCTTCCAAAGCAATCCACTCCATTTTGCAAATTGAGCTATTCAAATTGTTAGGAAATTTTCCCTGACATCAGACTTAAGTTTGCCTCTTTGAAACTTCTACCCTCTCCCTCAGCTTCTGCTCTCTGGGACAGAACAAAACAAATCTAATTCCCCTTCTTTGTTAGAGCTCTTAAAATAGTTGAAAAAGATCATGTTCCCCTGAATCTTCCTATAAGCTAAATACACCCAGCGCCTTCAACCAGCCCTCATGTGTCATATATTCAAGGCTCTTCATCATTCTTGTAGTCTTCCTTTGGACACTTTTCAGACTATCTAGGTCCTTCTTAGACTGTGGTGTCCAGAACAGAATACAATAGTCTATATTAAGTCTGACAAATAAAGGACAGAGTACAGTGAACCTATCACTCCCCTATTCCTGGAAGCTCTGTCCCATTTGATGAACTCTAAATCCCATTACTTTTTTTTTTTTGGCTGCCATATCGCACTGCTGACTTATGTTGAGCTCATAGTCCACTAAACAGCCCAGATCTTTTTCAAAACAGTCTATCTACACCTCCCTCACCTTCAACTCAGTGAAGCTGAATCAATGAATTGATTGAATTAATGAATCCTCTGGATTCAGAAGGGAGCAAGGAAAGTGAAAGTTTGAGGGGGCTACAATCCTAGTACCTCTTGGTTTCTCAATCCCTGAAGTAAATATTTGTCTCAGGCCTGACTTATAGAAGAATATCTAATGTCACACTTTTTTTCGTGGTAAGTTTCATATTGTTTTTTTAAAGACAAAACCATCCATCCACCTTGCTGTATTATTGCATAAACTGTCCTTTAGTTATCATAAAATAACCCAAGGCAGCAGTAGCAGAAGGAGCCAGGTGTCCCAGCCTGTTCTTTTGGTGGCTGATTAAACTATGGCATCTAATTAACCTACTTGCATGGAGTCCTTGGAAACAGTACAGTCACAGTGCTAGGAGGCCCCAAGCTAACTTTCCTTGCATATTATTCTGCTTCCCTTTTCCTTCTTATGGAAACTATCCTAGTTACGCAGTCCTCTGTCCTGGTTTTTTTATTATGAACTTAACAAACATGAACATTCTTTCAATATATAGTTATAAACAGAAAAAAGAATTGTATACAAAATCTGTGAGCTTCTTTTACATATAGCTCGGTTTTTAAGTGTGTATTAAATCTAACATGACAAACCCTGCTTTACTTATCTGACCCTCTTCTGAACTTCTGTAGTTTTTTTCTTGTATTTTTTTAAACTTATGATTAAATTTTTTTTCTTTCTTTAGCATCACTATCTCTACTCACGAATCCCTCCCTGTCCCCAAATGGAAGCCAACTCTGCGTTGTAACCCATAACTAGAGTCAAGCAAAATGAACCACCTCATTGGTCATTTCTAAAGAATACATGTATCATTCGGCACCTCTAATCGACCACCTCTCTGCAGAGAGATAGTGTTTTGTTATCAGTCTTCTGAAGTTACGTTAGGACACACGTGAAATAATAATAACCCGTGATAACCTTTTAAGAAACAGAACAGCACTCTTCTTGTCTTTAGGTCCTCCAAGAATACCATATGCCATGTATTCATAGGAATGGAGTTGTTTTCTACAATTTGTGATAAAATAAGCATCCTGAGGTTTCAGTGTTTGATGTCTCCTCTTGTCCTTTATGGTCTTTGTGTGTCTAAAACCGAACCGACAACTCCAATGTTCCCTTTGACAAATCTCTCTCCCTCTGCCTCCCTCTCTCTTTCTCTCTCTCACTCTCTCTGTCTCTCTCTCTCTCTCTGTCTCTCTCTCGACTGGTCACTGTATGTAACTCTTGAGAAGAAGATTTGATGTCTGAGTTTGACCATTCTACACAGTATGAGATTCTCTATTTCTTAGTAGGATGTAAGAAGAACGCTTCTGTTTCTGGGTGAGAGAGTCAGAGAGTCCTGTCCCATTTGGAAAAGAAGCAAGGGCACCAGAGAGTAGGGGAAAAAAATATCTATCCTGCCAGCTGCCCATAAGGGGGAGCCAGAGAGCTCTCTGAACAGCCCCTGAAAAAGTCTTGGGGGAAAACACACTATGTGCCCCTCTCACAAAGGCTGTTGTGGAGAAAATGTTGGAAGGACTTTTAGAATCCTGACACACACAGTGGAGAAAGTGGGGGAGGGGAGTTTTGAGAAGGTTCATTCACAGGCCTAAAAGAGTCTGTTGCTCTAAAAATATTGCCTAGAGTTGGTAGTGAGGCATAGCAACATAGCAACCCAAACTGAATTGACCCTCTTCTTATTTCTCCAAATCATGCCGAGGGAGTTTAGCTGACCCTGTCAAAGTGCTCAATGCTGCTGAATGCATGCCAGTTGTATAAACTTAAGTGTAACATAAATACTTAGGGGAAACTAGACATTTCATGCAGTAAAGGTAAGAGCAGAGACAAGGTAATGTGGTATCATATAAATGGGGCACTAGATTTAGAATGGAAGGGTCTGGGTTCAAATCCTTGCTCTGATAGTTTCTTTATGACAGACAGTAAATCACCTCTCTCTTGGCCTCAGTTTCGTCATCCATAACATGAGAAACCTGGACCACATGATTTCTAAGGAAGCTTTTCTAGGAAGCTGCAAAAGAGTGGGTCTGGAATCCAAATATCAGGGTTCAAATCTTGCCTGTGAAGATACCTAGATGAATTGGTCAAGTCACTGATCCTCCCTAGGCAAGCCGTTTGGCCTTTCAGTTTCTTTATCTTTAAAATGGGTGGAGTTGGACTAGTTAGGCTCTAAGGTCTTGAGCTCTTGCTCTGTGATTTAAAATTCTCTAATGGCGTAGAACTTCTAAATTTTAAATCCTCCAGAAGGTGCTATTCTTTATTCTGTGTATGTATGTGTGTATTAATTTTAATTTAGATTGATAAGCCTCTTAAACTTAGAATTGTATTACGTTGATTTTGGTTAAAGCGGCCACATAGTGAAGTAGAGAGGGGGACCGAGGTGACCTGCGTTCCAATCCCAGCTCTGTCACTGACTATATTTGGGTAAGCTTCTCTGAACCTTAGTATCCTTACCTGAAAAGTGGCACAGCTAGATTCTATGATCTTTTTGAATTATCAAATGTTAGAACTAGAAGGAACCCAAGCACCATTCCCTCTTGACAACGCTTCTTGTTTGAACTTACATTAGCCAGGATTGTTGGGCAAATCTGACTCAGGTCAGTCCGGTGGTTCAAGTTTGGGATTGGAATGAAATAAGATACTCCAAGACTATTCAAAACTTAACAAAAAGAGTTTGTTTACCAGGAAAGACACACATCAAAGACAAAGCACAAAGATGTTGCCCCCTTTCGTTCCATGTGGAGAGCATCTGGTCAGCAGGGTGGGATGGGCCAGATGAATATGGTGATTTGAACGGCGGTGAGACATCTGTCAAGTCTGAGAGGAACTCACTCCTGGGGGGCTGGCTTTTCAGGTGACTGAAAGATATGTCAACAGATGGAGTTTTAGATGGAGTTTTAGAACCAATCAAGTCTCAATGACAGCTTCTCTATCTTTTAGGGGAAAAAAAATTCTCAGCCCATGCAGCTGGGACCCTAGTGGAAGTTACTCCTAGTACCTCAAACATCCAGATTTCCAAACTTCACACTTATTACATGAAAGAGTAGTAATTTCATGGTCACCCTTGCTATACTTTCCCTCTCTGTTTACATTAGCATGATCTGTTTCTTGATGGAGGAAAGAGATGGGAGGTAATGCTCTAATGACTAGAGAATTTAGTCTAAAGCCAACAATACCTCCTCTTCCTTTAGCTGCGGAACACAAGAAAAACCATTTTCAGAACTGTGAGACACTGATGTTTTTTTAGACAGCCATATTCTGTCCTTTCTATGCACAGCTAAACTCCTTCCATTCTTTGGTGGAATGGGTTTGCTTCCTGAATATTGCAGGTGTTTACTTCTTGTGTAGAAATACATATATACATGTATATGTATATTTATATGAATAGATATGTATGCATGTTCAAGCTGCCTCATCCCTCCTTGAAGTAGTTGCAGTTCAGTTACCTAAAAATCAGGAATTTCATACTTATACTAGGTATTCGGCAGGCCTATCCAGGTCTCTCGTCTCTGCAAGAATCTTTTCTCAGTACAGACGGGTCATTCAAACATCCAGAAAGAAGTCACGTGTGTATACACACACACATGAGTACATGCTTTAAAAAGACAGTTAAGTAAACCACAAGATTGCCACAGAGCATAATGAAGGAATTTTTGTTCGTCTTTCCTGAACCGGATGGCCAGCAATATTTTTGTTGCTGCATCTTGGAAAGAGAATATTTCCATCCAAACACACATTTCAGATCGTAATTTCTCTCTCTTCTGGGGGCTTCTGCATTTTGTCAAATTAACAGCTTCAGAATGACACACACATTTCATTCCAACCTCTAGTTGGGCCCAACATCTCTTCCCTGACCTTTCCTCAGAGAGCTCAGCTGGGGGAAAAGGAAGCCAAACTTGCAGAATCTGCTGTGTGTGGCCCAGATTTCATTCTTAGGCCCTGAGCTGTTTAATCATTGTACCTCAAAGGGTCGGCCATTGGCTAATGAATCCACAGCTCTGAGTTATCCCTCATCCTAATGAGTCCTAATAAAAAGCATTTAACTTGGCTAATGCAACATAAAACTCGGCACCACTTCATTGTATTTGCTTAATAAGAACTTTGTTTAATATCAAATTACTCCCTCCTTGGCCAAAGCCTTATACTGGTGGTAGCAGATCTGCAAGGTGGGAATATCCAATGTTACAATATGGAAATTCTTTTCTAATATGCTCTGTATTATTGTATGATTACTTAATTCATTTAGTTGAGAAAGTCTGATCCTGGTGCCAACTGTTTTGTACAATTTACTTGGAATGCTAAGCAACCAGTCCCACCACACAGCCTAGAAATACAGTATCGCTTTTCCTGGGACTAAGCTATTAACAGTTGCTTTGAGAGATGCAAAGGATGGTTAATGGTACAGACACAGGGATAGAGAAGGAGCACTATAACATATGTGCCTAATATTATGAAACATATGTACTTAAATAAAAAAATTGTAAACAAAATCCTGTTTCCCCATTGCCTTTCATTCAAGGTTGTCTGTAAGAATTTTACACTAATGGGGACCTCAGAAATATTTATGAGGCACTTAATAATTACAGCTCACAATAACATGGTGGCTTAAATTTTTCAAAATTCTTTACATAGAATATATTATTTGATCCTACCAACAACCTTGTGAAGTTTATTATTAGCCCTTTTCTCCTCCATGGCCATCACTTCCAGACACACATGTATGTGGACACATATGTGCATATATATATATATGCATGCATATATAAAAAACATGTTTCTTTCCTCTATTAGTATGTAATTTCCTGAGTGCAGGGACTTGAATGACAACCAATAGACTAAATAGACTGAACAAAGGGAAACAAACACTAGGGATTTGGGTTTGTACTCCTATATTTCCCTAGTGGCTAAGGTTTCATGGTAGCACTGGTCTGTCTCTTGATCCTGCTCGACTGGTCCCATACTGCTCCTCAATGGCCAAAACATCCCAGTCCTGCCATCTAGATCACTATGTTCTCTACTGCATCTTTCCAAGATGTCTTCTAGTTCATGCTTCAATGCACCCAGATTAGGCTTCAATGGGAGTGGTAGCTACAGCAAGCTATAGTATCCAAGTGGTTGAAAGCACAGAAGAGTAAGCAATGCTTAACTGGAAGTTTCTTCAAGAACAGAGAGAAGAGATGCTGGGAAATGTCTGCTAGTATACTTTTCTACCCTCCCTTTGGTCACACAGATCTCTTTCAGCCAACTTCCAAGAAGTATTATGAATACTTGATACATTATGATCCTACATTCCCATGATTCCTTGATATAGGAGAGTAAAATTTCAAAATATCCTGTTATCCCAGAGGTAGCTTACCAGAGAAAAATAAGAGGTTAAGTCCTTTTTGTGATATATCATGCTCTATTTCCCAACTAGTAGATATTATGGTAGAAAATATTTTGATGTGGTATGATAGATAATACTAATGGTAATTTTAAAATATAGAATCACATTATTTTTCTTTCTCACTTTAAGAGATTTTGAGGTTTTATGTTAGGTTCTTTTAAAAATTAAATGTCTTTGCCAGGGCTGATTATTGTATACGTTGTTAGGCATTGTCATGTTATTATTATTTTGGCTTAACAGTTATTCTTTCTTTCTTTTAAAAATTTACAATACACTGTTCAACCGGGAAGGGAAGGAGGCGTGTACGTTTTCCAAAAATAATAGTAATAACAATAATGATATAAAAAACAAAAGGCATCAATAAAACTCATATTAAAAATAACGCTCAATGTCTTTCCTGTGAGTTTATGGGAAAGTGTTTTGAAAGGTCAAAAGGCATTTCAAAGAAAGTTGGGAACTGATCTTAGAGTTGCTCTCATTTAACTTTCCATCCAGTACAGGAAATCCCTCCTCAGCATCCCAGACAGGTGTTCATTGATTGCTTTGTTGTGCTCAAACACCTTCAGCGATGGAGAGTTCACTCCTTCTCAAGGTAGCTCATTACAGTTTTGAACAGTGTTAACTGTCCACAACATTTTCCTTATGCTAAGCTGAAATCTCTTTTCCCACAACTTCCACCCATTACTCCTATTTTTGCCAAATGGGGATATGTAGAACAAATCTAATCCCTCTTTCACATGGCAGGCCTTCAGATATTTGAAGGCAGCTATAATTTCCTTATGAATTTGTTCTTTGCCAGAATAAACAACTCCAATGCCTTCAACTGTTTCTCTTAATACATGGTTATAGACCCTGTACCAACCTGATTGCCCTCCTGTGGACATTTCAAAGTTTGTCAACGTCTCTCTTAAAATATATCTCCTTACACTTTTTTTCACCTCTCATTTGCTTCTCGACCCCTTGCAATCTGGCAATGTCTGCCACTCAGCTGAAACTGCTCTCTCCAAGGCCACATATGCTGTCTTTATTGCTAAATCTGATGGCTTTTCCTCATCTTTATTGACCTCTCTGAAATATTTGATACTGTTAACCACTGCCTGTTTCTGGATACTTTTCTCCTCCCAGAATTTCTGTGCACCTATTCTGTTGTAGTTCTCTTCCTATTTACTTGAGTGACTGATCCTTTTCTGTTTCCTTGGCAGGATTATCATCTATTTAAAAAAAAAACTTCACTTAGAGAAAGTCCATGTATTTAAAAATATGACACACTTATTATAATAGAAAAAAATACATGTTTCTCCTATTTGGGTAAAAGCCAGGTTCTGGTCACCAAGATTGCTATTGTAAGGTAATTTCTGAGTAACAACTGCTGGCCTACCATCATTCTTCCCTCAACAGAAAATGAGAGTTGAAGTGAAAGTCCTTTTTAGTTTCACAAGCAAAGGTGAAGTCCATTATGGACCAGTCACTCTGAACACATTTGGCCCCTTATTAGTTTTATGAACCATTCTTCAGAAGTGTCCGCAGCTCAGGGAAAAAGGCCAGCGAGATGCAGATTGCAGATGTGAAAAGATTCCCTATGTCTCAACCTAGATATAATAGCAGTTTTCAGTGGCAGGGCCTTAAATTCAAGTAGAAAATCTGATGAGTTCTTTTGTAAACTTTGCTTCTGCCATATTTCTGAAGAAGTTCTAATCCCTCTGTGTGAATACATCCCAAGGATCTCTCCTCTTCACTCTACACACACACTCGTTCTTTCTTAGGGTGATTTAATGAATTCTCCTGGATTCTACTATCATCTTTATGTATGTGTCTTATAAATGTGTAAGTTCAGCTCCCATCTTTCTTCTGAACTCCAGTCCTATATCTCTTGCTGCCTACTGGGCATCTCCACCTTAATACCTGAAAATTCAACATGTTTAAAACAGAACTCACTATCTTTCCCCCTAAACACATCTTTCCTGTTTCTGTGAAGGGCACCACCATCCTTCCAGTCACACAGATTTACAACCGGTGTCATCCTTGACTCTTCCTTCTCACTTCCTTAACCATGTCCAAAGCATTGTTAAGATTAGCTGGTTCTGTCTCCTTCACTTCACTTGTATCTATTTCATTCTCTTCACTCACAAAGTTGTCATGGTAGTTCAAACACTGATCACCCCTTATCTGAACCGTTGCAAAAACGTCTTAATTAGTCTCTGCACATCCAGTCTCTCCTCTCTCCAATCCATCTGCTGCACAGCTGCCAAATGAATATTCCTAGAGCACATGTCTGATAATGTCACTCCTGATTCAGAAGCTCTGGTGGGTTCCTATGGTCAACAGCACAAAATACAAATTCTTTTTTCTGAAATTTCAAGTCCTTCTTGATCTGGACCCAGTCACCTTTCTAGGCTAATTACATATCATTCCCTTTCACATTCTCTATACTGCTGTCTCACAGGCCTGCTGGATGTTCATCCTAGAAGACAT